TAAATACCTTTCATAACTTTCTGACTTTGAAGACTGTGCAACCAGATTCTCTTAGAACTTAAACTCTAATTTTATACATCTTCCTTTCCCAGTCTTGAAAGATCTGTTATTTGTGGACCGACAAATGGTTGATCACTAATGAAACACGGTTTCCTCTGATGACTACTTAAAATGTAGGTGTGTAAGAATTACATTCTATGGAGATAGTAAAGGCAGAAGAATTTAAAAGTGAACCTAAGAAATCTCTGGCAACATAATGAGTATCCACTTGGTTTTATAGCCATAAATCGGGAGTGAAGATGGTGGGATAGAAATGTAAGGAATGTGTAGGGTCAGGATGCCAGAAGGTGATGGGAATATCAATTCTTTCATTGTAATGTGGAGACATTTCCTTAAGGCACGCTCTGTTTTCACTTCAGTTAAGTACTCTCTCTCTTCCCGCCCTCATTTATTTCTCCCAGTAGAAAGATCTACACATGTCAAGTCCTAAGCCCTGCATTTTCCCTGCAATACAGCGTGAGGCCACAGAGGAACATTAGCAGGCTTTGTCTTGATCTCCCCTGAAAGCCTTTTCTTCAGGATTCCCCTGTTCTCAGAAGAGCCCTGGAGTCACTCTTAAGTCTTCTGTCAGAAAAGGAAAGCACTCCATTAAAATCTACAGTTAATCACTGCTTACATTAAAATGATAAATGGACATTAGGAGACAGTGAGCAGCAGATTTTAACTCTAGGAGAGAAAAACAAATCTGATATAACAGCTAGCTTTTATTAAGAACCTACTATGTGCTTGAAGCTATCTGCACTCCATGTTAGGTAATTACAGATGGCAGCCATGTGATTTCAGCAGACAGAAGGAAATGAGAGGAGCTGGAGCTAGATGGTTCTGTGTGGTTGGTTCCAAGAGCGCATGTGGCTTCTCCACCAGCCACTTTCTTCTGTCCGTGGGCAATTTGGGAGCAATTAGGGAGGCATAGATATAATTCTTAGACATTAAAATTATACAATAGTTCTTTAAAGCAGTTACCTATTTTTATCTATTTATAAGGGGTTTGTAATCTATTTATTAATCTCCGATCGTTCCTTCCTATAGGGTAGGTCAAACATGGGACCCCTAAGACCTTTAAGTGGAAACAAAAGTACAAAGCTCCAGGTACAGTTCCGATGCTCTTTCTCTTTTTGGTCACAAGTACATACTTCTGCCAACTTGATCTCAGAAACTGCTGATGCCCAGTCTCCCCCAGCCTCTGCTCTTCAGCCACCAAAGTCCATAACTGGTCTTCTTCTTCAGTCCCCAAATTCTCTCTACCCCAGCCCCAAACCTTACTCTTACCATGAGGCCAGAATCCGCACCCAGTGCTAATTTCCTTTCTAGGTTGAGGTTTGTTACATTAGCAGAATGTAACAAACCCCAACCTAGACAACAACAACAGAACTGTTCTAAGTTCTTTTTTTTTTAAAAGATTGTATTTATTTATTTATTTGTCAGAAAGAGAGAAAGCACACAAGCAGGCAGAGAGGCAGGCTCCCCGCTGAGCAAGGAGCCCGATGTGGGACTCAATCCCAGGACCCCGGGATCATCACCTGAGCCGAAGGCAACGGCTTAACCCACGGAGCCAGCCACCCAGGCGTCCCGACTGTTCTAAGTTCTAAATAAATTATTTAGAACAATCAAGCTAGAAGTAAAAATTCAGGCACTTGGTAAATTCCCTAGGTTAGAGCAAGAGGAATTGGGCTTTCCAATAGTTTTTCAAAGTTTCCCAAGGGAAAAAGACAGAATGCTAATCTCCCTATCCCCCCAGCCCCCTCCCACAGCAACCCTCCACCAGGGATTCAGCTATGGTTTCCAGTGAAGTTACTAGCAGCTGCAAGTGTTCAAACAGAGCAAACTGTAATAAGCCATGTCCAAAAATCAAGCACAACTTGTATTAATCTTTATGGTAACCTTAGTTTTTGCCTAGTGAAATCTAATTCTGTGTTCCCACTTCTTTCTCAGCTTTGCCAGTCACCTTGGACTTCAGGTCCAAGTTCTGGACTGCAAGTATGAAGTCGGCAGAGGTTGGAAGATTTTTGATGTCAGAGAAGCTCTTTGAGTAAAATGGTTGAAGAAATGTAATTAACAAATTTGGGGGCCTAGACTTCTCAGCTCGGCTTATGATCTTTAGCCAAAAGAGTTTAATAAAAATCTATTTTAGGTACAGTTTCTCTAATGAGTTGCTAACATCTATGTAATTGAAGTCCTCACTGTTGGGACTTTTAGAGGAACTGAATGAAGAAGTTCTCACCCAAAGAGCAAGGTTTGCTGACCCATAAAGAATGCAGACCTCAGAGAGGAAACAAAGCAAAACAAAACCAACTAAGCTGCTATTCCTGCCAGATAACACCACCAACTAATGAGAAGCAAATTCTTAATCAGACATGCTTAATGCTAAGACAGTCAATATTAAACCAATATTACACAGTTCATGTGTTTAGTGCCAATAATAGTGGCTCAAAATACAATGGTAATGGGACATACTAATTAACTTTTTATGTAATTAAATTGTGGATTTCTTAAAGTCAGTACGCAAATGAATTCATATACTATACAGATAAATATTTTTATTGGAGTTTCTTACACCTAAGGAAACGGGATGACAATTCTGGGATCTTCTAAAGGTCCTAATAAGACTAGTGTACTACCTCTGTTTTTTTTAATTTATTTAAAATATTTTCTTATTAAAAGCTGAACTAACAAAATTCTACCAGCTCCTTCATTTACAGAGAATTCTCTTTTAATCAGCCATTCATTTTTTTTTTTTTACTTCATAATCACACAGAAAAACAGCTCTAAGGAAAAGTTACATCAAAAGCAAAGATAAAGGCAGGTAGGATTCCAAGGCAAACATGTGCATTGAAAGATTGTGTATAAGCATCACATACTTCAGCCCAAAACTTTTACACTGACTGAGAATATAGTCTATAGAATTTACCACAAGCATAAGAATTGTTCCTCATATTTCTGGTTCTGTATCAAGGAGTGACTTTGAAATACATTTGGTTCTAATTTAATGATGGTAAATCTTGATATGAAAAATTTGGAAATAAAAAATAATCTTCAGTTTGTCATTTGGTAAAAGGAGAGCAGAAAAGGACAGAGACTACATTGCCTGGATTTTGTCTAAATCACTTGACTTCTTTGCGCCTGGATAAAATGAGGATGGTAATTACACTTATCACCAGAAAATATGAGCATTGCTCTTTGAACTTGTTGGTGTAGGCTGCATTATGTAACTGTGATGTCCCGGGACTGGATGCTCTCTGAACAGAACATTTTGCATTCCATTTGTAGAGCTGCAAAAGTGGAGTGAGGATATAGAATGCAATTCCTCTCACAAAAACGAAATGCTAACTCAAAATTTAGGCGCAGCCTTTAAAGGATGTGAACAATAAACAGAGAAACCATTTTCCTTGTGAGATCTGAACCACTGTTCTCCTTAGAATTATAGAAACCATGTCCACCACTGATATCTGTACTCTAGTTCAAGTTCCACTGCTTGTGCAATGTCCAGAGCATCCTTTATCTATAAAATGAGCCCATTATCTTTTTTTATCCAACTTCCCAGACCATTTTGAGATTTCACTGAAGTAATATTTATGACACACCATATATTCATAAGCTCTTGAACACCCGAGTTTCAATCTGTGCTATGAAACCAGAGGCCAAAGCTGATTCCTGGATCTTCTCCAAGATCCAGTCCAGGTTCTAGGGTGAAGCTAAGGTTTGTTCCCTCCTACATACCCTTTCCTCTGCAGTGCACTATGGGACAGACCATCTAACATCCCTTATTCCACCCCTCCCCTCCTAATGACCCTTCCCCCTCACCCAACTTTAAGCCACTTTAATATGTGTAAAGAATACAGGATGCGTTGTGTGCATGTGTATTTCATGTTTTATATATATTTCCTACTAAGTAAAGCGATGAATAATAATTGCAGAAAATTTGGACTAGTTAGATAAAATACCATTTAGGCTTGGACTCCGACTCAGAGGTTCTGAGTTCTAGATCCAGCCTGGCCCTTCTCACTGCGAAAGTGTATGCCCGACTCCAGGTTGGGGGCCTAATATCCTTTAGTTTGGGTCAAACAACACCCATTATCAGCCTTACGGGGAGTGCTCCTTACAATGGAATTAGCAGCGCCTCAGAGGCTGAACCACATGGGTAGGGCCTGGGAATGTGCTCTGCAATTAAAACAAAAACAACAAAACACTTCTCAGGAGATTCTCACACTCAGCGTTTCAGAAGCTCTGCTCCAGATTCTTCTACACTACACTTGGAGTAGTAAGGATAAGATGGTCTGGTCTCACAGCACCGGCATCATCTGGGATCTCGTTAGAAATGACGAATCTTCCCTCGGCGCCTAGGGCTATTGAATCAGAAACGTGCATTTTAACAAAATCCTCAGAAGATTCTGACACACACATTAGGGTTTGAAAACCTCTGCGGTGCGTGGGTATCATCTGGAAAGCTTTACAACCAATTGATACCTGCGCCTCGCCCAGGGATTCTCCGGTACGGAGTCTGGCTTCCGGAGGTGCGGTCAGGGCAAAGGGCTCTTACAAGCTTCCCAAGTTATTTTAATGTACAGCCAGGTAGAGGACCATTGTCCCCTAAATCGCAGTCCACTACGATTAAACTGTAACCTGACTTAAACCGGTTTTCCTGGGCTTGCCCAGCGCCCTAAAGACCGCTTAGAGTAAACAGTGGCTTTTAAGGGACAATGGGCTCTGGAGACAAGTTCAACTACGCAGCTTTTAGGTCCCCAAAACCCGACGCGGGAGACTTCCGGCACCTTCCCGCGAGGGAGCAGGGCGCCGCGCCCGAGTCCGCCCCGGGGGCCCCCACCCCGGCCCCGCCCAGCTCGCCCCCTCCGCGCCCCTCCCTCCCCGGTGACGTGCCGCAGCGGGCCGGGATCATGCGCATTCGCGCCCCGCGCCCCGCACGGCTGCTCCGCCTCGGCGCTTGTCATTCTCCGCGGCGCGGCGGCGAGTGCGGACTGCGGTGCCCGGCCGCTAGCTCCCCCGCCGGCGCGCCGACGATGTGACCGACCGCCTGGGAGCGGGCTGGAGGCTCTGCGGGTAACAGCGCTTCGGCTTGTCCCTTGCCGCGTTCCTCGCTGAGTCGCCATTCCCTCGGAGCCGCAGACACGCACCAGCGGCTGGGAGCGCCGCACTCCGGGGTCGGTGGCGTCTGCAGCTCTCGGTCCGCGCGGCCGGTGCAGCCTCAGTCGCCGCTGCGGCCGCCGCCGGCGGGCCGTGCGCCCTGGCGAGTGCCGGGCTCCGGGCACGGCGGAGCGAGGCGGCTGGTGCGGAGCGACAGCGCCTAGCCTGGCACCCGCCGTCGCCCCGGCAGTGCGGGGCCAGCGAGGTTGAACGCCGCGGAGCGAGGTCCCCTCGGAAGGCTCCCTGTCTCCTGCGTCCCGGTGAGTTGACTGTAGTTTCTGAAGTTGGAGGGGGCCGTGGAAAGGGGAGGTGCGTTTTTATTATCTTCGTGGGGGAAGCTGGGGCGGCCCCTCTTGTTAGGAGCGGGGCTCCGTCTCGGGGAGTTCAGGGTGCGAAGAAGCAGACCCGGCACGCGGGGAGAGGCAATCCTGGGCGGGCTGGCAGCAGCCTCCGACGAACGTGCCAGTTGGAAACGTGCTGTGAGAGGACAGGTGCTCCGAGGGCATTTCGCCTGCTGCTGATTGCACGTTGCGAGCTCCTTGACTGTGTGTGTTTGGCAGTGGAGGGTGCGTGCAGGGTCTTGTTGCCTCTATCCTAAGTCCTCCGGGGAGTGACTCCTGTAATATTCCTGGATGCGATAGGTCTTTGGAGGTGGGAGCTAAGTCATTCCTCCCCAGCCCTTCCGGCTTCCCGCGCATCCCACTTTATTCTTCCCTTAGGCAGAAGTTGCCAACGTTTCCTTAATTGGAGTCCAGTCCTTTGGGGAGAAAACAACTTGTAAGCCAATACAACGTTTTGTGCCATAAGGCAAATAGAATGAGAAATGCGTTCATTGTATGTGATTTCATACATTTCAAGAATGTGGGCAAGTCTCAAAGAAATAGGATTCTGATGATGGCACTTGGGTTTCACCCTGCCTGTCCTGCGCCTCTTATATAAGCCTCCCGGTGGGATAACTGTGTCTCTGCAGTGGCTGCAGCTGTGGCTCTCCGTTCCATTTGTTTAAGGTCCAGCTTGAACAGTATTTAATGAAAATGCTGACATGATATAGCGTTCTGTAGTGTGAAACAGAGTGCACTCTTCAAATTGGAGTGTCTTCTCCTAATAGGTAGCATGCGAGGAAAAACCCAGTATATTTTTCAAGGCAGCTCCAGGAATTAGACACATAAATCATGTTTTAAAATAGCATGCATTGTGCAGAGAGCTTGCAGAGGACCCTTTTTGAACACATCTCCTTTGTTTTAGAAAAAGTGGAAATTGTTCATCCCAGACATTTGTTGAGTCTGAAAGTTAAGTATGCTGATGGGCTTAATTATCTTAATAAATAAAGGGCACAATTTATAGGTAGCTATCTTGTTCTACTTTGAAGGATAGAATTCTATAACCTTTCTTTTTCATCCATCCCCTAGAGATTCCTTTTAAGTAGAGTAATAGATCATCATCATTGATGTTTAATATTTGAATCAGTTAAATTTGTAAAAGGAATACTTTGAATTACATGTAGTACCACTACTGAACATTAGAAGCAAGGAGAATTTTCAGATTATTTGGTATCAAAGTCATCAGTTTAACAAAACAGCGTTAAGACTTCATATATAAATATATGATTATATATATAATACATATTCATATATAAACACACACACACACATATATACATATATATATTTAAATTTGGAATAGTAATAAATGTTTCAACCAAAACTCAGGGGTGTGTTATAATGTAAGATTTATCTAGGCAGTCTTTAGAAAGAGAAGTGCTTTTATTTATGGTATTCCAACACAGAACAAAATGAGCTAGTTATAGGCACCACATTTAAAAACATATCATAGGTTTTTAAAGAATCCTAGGAAAATACAAAAACGTTATTTCAGAAGTTGAAAAGTTAGGCAACACATTGTGTTTTGTGAGAGCATCCATTGCTTATGTCTAGAAGAGAACATATCCCAGCACGGACTCTCAAACAGGCTCACCCCTATCAGCACTGTTGCACTGTGGTAAGGAGGGTAGACCAGGCAGCTGAGCTCTTGGCTCTCCTACCACTTGAATCTGGGCAAGTTACCTAAACTCTGTGTCTCAGTACCTTCACCTGTAAACTCGGGATGACAGCAGTACCTACTTCAGGGGATTATGATGAGGATTAAATGAGTTCATAGATGTAAAGCCATTGAGCCAGTGTCTGGCATTATTTTTTTTTAAAAAGATTTCATTTATTTATTCAACAGAGATCACAAGCAGGCAGAGAGGCGGGGGGGGAGGTGAGGTGAGGGAAGGAAAGCTGGCTCCCCTATGAGCAGAGAAGAGAGCCCAATGCGGGGCTTGATCCCAGAACTCTGGGATCATGACCTGAGCTGAAGGCAGAGGCTTTAACCCACTGAACCACCCAGGTGCCCCACCAGTGTCTGGCGTTATTAAGCTGATAAAATTATCGTTGCTGGGCACCTGGGTGGCTCAGTCGGTTGGGCGACTGCCTTCAGTTTGGGTCATGATCCCAGAGTCCCAGGATCCAGTCCCGAATCTAGCTCCCAGCTCTGCCGGGAGTCTCCTCCGTCTGATCTTCTACCCTCTCATGCTCTCTCTTACTCGCTTTTCCTCTCAAATAAATAGATAAAATCGTTTTAAAAAATTATCATTGCTATGAAAGGAAACACATCTTTGGATACCAGGGACTGAATGGCTGCTGATGGAGGTTAATGGAAGCAGGTCACAGGTATAACAGGAGAGAGGGTATAAACATTTATTGAACACTTTCTAGTGATGCAGCTGGTGTTTAATTTACTGTCTCCCTCCTCACTGAGGTGGGTGCTTTCGTCTCCACTTGGGAGTTGAGGAAACTGAAGCTCAGTGAGATCAAATCAGCGTTGGGATTTTAACCTATGTCTGTTTATTTCAAATCCTGTTCTTTTTGACCTTGCTGCCTTAACTTCCTTTTGATCTTGTTTTTTCCATCTATTCTCCTTTAATCCTCATAATAATAAAATAGGTGCATTATTATCTTCAATTTACACATGAGGAAATTCAAGTTAAGCATTAAAGTATGCAAAGTGTTTAACAGCACTCACAACATAGTTCTCCAAGATTGGGAGTTATTATTATTACCATAATTATTATTAAATAACTTGCTTAGCCTAGCACAGGGTAGATGTGCCAGCAGGTGAAGTGTGTTTTCTCCTTCACTTTCAGGTGGATTCCATTGCTTTTTACTTCCCCATTCGTATATTCAGAGAATTATTGGGGAAAAAACGGTATGTGACAGTTCACACTGGAGGACGGTGCTCTTTGGTTTGTTTCTGCCTACAGATGTGGCTGCAGTGATCCACACAGCCTAGCAAAGCAGCCCGGGCAGCTGTCATCCATCCACAAAGAGCATCATACCTCAGCATGAATTCAGTCCCTGCTAGAGAACAGCCGTGGGGCAGAGAGCAAGAGAGAGCCCTTATACTTTCCTGCACATTTTACTGTATATTCAGAAATGGAAATTATTTATACTTTACATTAAATAAGCATGCTTCTTTTAGGCCTTAATGCCAGTGTCACACGAAGCAGTTTCCAGGGTCCTTTGTGAGCAGTACTTTGTTAAAAGTCTGGTCCATAGCCTGTTGAACTTCTCATCTGACTTCAGAGGTTGAGAATGATTGAGAGGCCGTGTGTGTGTGTGTGTGTGTGTGTGTGTGTGTGTGTGTAGCTTTCCTAGGTTATCATCCAGATACTACATAGTGTTCTGACTCTGGAAAATATTTATTCTGTTTTCTAGATGTTAAAATCTAATTGCTCTAGAAGGCACATAAGCAACAGACTGCTTGTATGTAGACTGGTGTATCCTCCTAGTGAACATATTCTACCTAGTCTACCGCCGACAGTACTTGGTGACACATGTTCTAAGTTGGCTTTCTTTTTTTTTGAAATCAAGACTCTGTACAGCATGTGACTATAGTTAATAATACCATATTGCATATTTGATAGTTGCTAAGAGAGTAAATCTCGGAAGTTCTCATTACAAGTTGTAACTGTGTGGTGGCAGATGCTAACTAGACTTACTGAGATTATTTTGCAATATGTACATATAGACCAGATCATTAACTTGTATACCTGAAACTGGTAAAATTTTATATGTCCGTTACTTGTCAGTTTAAAAAAAGCTTTCTGGGAATGAGCTTTCAGGAGAGTGCCTCAGTATGCCTGGGGACACAATTCCACAGATACCGTGCATCAAAAAGAGAACCCTTGCCATCAACAGCCCCTTCCCATCTTTGAAATAGCCTCTACTTCAATTTTAACCCTCTTTGTCAGAGTACAGATATTCCCTTCTACTCAATATTTACATTTCAAATGCTCCTTCGTTCTGGGTTATTGTATAATTGAAGTCTTTCTTGATCACTTTTGTGACTTAAGCTGGGTCCATAATTTGGTTTTAACTACTTCTTTAGAATTTACATAGCTCTGTTTTATTTCTCATCTGTGTGAACTATTTAACGGCTTATCTGTGGTCACCTCTAGATTCCCAAATAACTTCTCTGACATCGGCTTTTTCCTGCTGTCAGAAAATATATGTACAGGAAACAGGTAATTTTAATATGGATAAAGTGAATGAAGATCATTTACTCTCCCTAGTCATATCTACTCTTTTGAATCATGTTCACTTCTGGCTTGGGGAGTTGGGAGCTGATTCTGTTTCTAGAGCTCTTGCTTCATACATCCGTGAGAGATGTGTTGGGGAGTTACACACGTTTCTGGTAATACGAGCAGGCAGTTCGTATTCATCGTGACAGAGACAGTCCCTCAAGGCTGGGGCATGGCTGAATTTGAGGACCAGGGGCAGAGATGGGGGGAGACAGCTCTGAGAATTTTTTATCTGCCACCTTTCTAGTCCTTATTGGTCGTGCCTTCTAGATAAGAACTGGAGTGAATAGTTAACACACAGCACTTACCATATGCTAGCTGCCATGCTAAGAAGTTTAACTACGGTATTTAATCCTGATGGCAAACTTATATGACAGTTACTTTATTATTCTGTTTTTCAGAAGTGGAAACTGAGGCCTAGAAAGGTCAGGACACCTGTCTAGGGTCACTTTATTAAGTTTTGGAGCCAAGAATGGAGTCCACGGCTATCTGACAAGGCCTGGGTTCCATGCAGTACATTCTGCATCTAATTTTGGAGCCTTCATGATCGTTCGGCTGTGCTGCCTAGGTGTCCTATATTGTGCTTCTCAAAATAATCCTGTACTATCTGTCTTGGTTCCCACAATAACCCCGGAAGAG